TACAACAGGAGACTGGGCATTTGGTACTGGAAAAAAAGGAGGGTGGGATGCTTCTTACTGTACTGTAGCCACAATCAAAGCAGCTCCCAGAGAGGAGTTTATTTCTATAGCCATGGAAAGCATGAGCCTAGCCAGACCTATTGAAAGGCAGATATTGCATTTATAAGTCACTTACAGGCGTCCTGAGAGGTAAAAAGATATTGTTTTATTCATTGTTTCTGAGGCCATCTCTGTGTGATCTATAAATAAGACATCAATTGCCTCACGCTTCCAGGAGTTTTACCTCTCTCCATAGGTGGCCTTATACAAGTCTGTGAGCCAAGAAACTTCCATTCACTGTTTAAACCTCTTTGGAGCTGATTATGGAGACTGGAAGGGCAAGGAGAGTGAGAGATCTTTTAACTTTATTATTTTTTAAGATAATGTTTCACTGGGGAAAAATACAAAAGATGAGGGAGAAGGTATTGCCAGAAATTAAAATGAAGATGTTGGATAACTGATAAAAGCATTTCATCAATAGCAAGACCTCAGATGTGTACCCACTGAGTTATACGTTGCATCTTCTAAAGCAAAGCATGAAGCACAAAACCTAATATAGACAATTGCTAGACAGCTGACATTTCTGGCATTTATAGCAGAATTGCTTATTATCACCAGAACTGTCTTATCACCAAAGACAGAAGTGATTAGAAGTGATTCCACCTCACAGGAGATGTTGCTTGACAGGGCAGCCCTACAGAAAGAGCTCCACATCTTGACGCACTACTGACACTTTGGAGATCAGTGGGAAAGACAAGCTGAAATAACCTCTGGCTTAGAAAGATGGTGAAAGAGAGGTGGGAGGCAGAGCCACAGTTTCTGAGCATTACCTGCATGGCTGGGGCAGCTGGCTAAAATCCTGATCTCCTAACTCTGGCTACCAGCATGGGACTTAGGTGCAAGAACACAGGACTCTGCTCCAGGCTCGGCAGGAAAGTTTGCACAGCCTAGGGAGTGGAAGTCCAAGCACAGGCACACAACAGTCTAGTAAACTGGACATCTATTTCCAGCCTAAGTCCAGCTGCGATCCAGTCAAGAACAGATCTGCACATAGTTTTACTGTAGTTTCACACTGGAATTACCATATAGTGAATCTCACTCTACAGAGAATGAAGATTAAAAGTGATTCAAGGGGACTAGTCTATTCTGCATGCAGATGTGTGATGAGACACCCTGCACAATTTTGGAAAATTATATTTTCTGAAAAAAATTTCAGAAAATTTCATTTTCTGATTGCAATTCAATCTGAGAGATGCCAAGATTCTCAAAGACATTTTACAGACTTTTAAATACTCCAGAACAACTGAATTTAAGCCTCCTAAGTAAGTATGCATGACATTTTCTCCTGATTTTTCTTCCTTATCAGGAAGCCGAAAATAATTAGTGTTTTTTTTTATATATTTGCCAAATGATATCTTCTTTTGGAAAAGTGCTCCCGACAACTGTATATAGGATTTATAACATAATGGTCAGTTCAGGTATAGTCCTATGAAGCACTGGAATCATCTTAAATAACACTGGAGGTTTTCAATTTTTATTTTCAATTTTCCCATGCCACTACAGCAGGAAAAAGAAAATAGAAATAATTTCTTCACATGAATGAGACATTATTGAATTATTAGTTGGAGAGATGGAAATCTCAAAAGAGCTAGATATTTGGGGACAAACTATCAGCAGTGGCCCATGGGTCGGTGTAAATTAAATTTATATCAGACATCCATTAAAATAATTATGAGAAGATTACAATTACAAGCAGGTCTCTGAGGTAGACAAAGAATAATTTAAAAGAGCGTGGCACTACTCAGTTTATTCTGTCCCCGAAGTGCTCTGTTAAATAATCTAATAATGATTCTATTCTTTCTAAAAAAAAAAAAAAAACCTCAGTAGCTCTGTATTTATATTACTTTTGTATTAGGCTCCATTTCAGCTTCCAGGCAGGTGAGTGGAAAGATTCCACATTTTCACCTGTGTGGTATGTAAAATAAGTACGCAAATCCTGCCCTCCTTTTTTATTGTCTGAAAAACTGAGTTTGCAAAGCAAGATCATGTTCTGCAAAACCCTCTATTGAACCACAAGAAGGAGAATATTGCTTCTTTAAGTTGAAAATAGACCGTGTTCTTGGTCTAAAAGAAAAAAAAAAGTTTTTCTCTAGTAAGAATCCTACAAGTTAGAATTACTAATACTTTAAATTTTGCAAAATATCCTGAAATTTCATGAAGGAGGGATTCCTATTGTCATAGGCATTGCCGCAGTCTTGATTTATGTCACTATGTTCCTATGGACAGGGATCTGGAAGTGTTGCTGGTCACGTAAATCCAAGACTGTGACATGACCTGAATTCAGGAAATTCCAAGCTGGTTTTGTAGGCATCAAAACTTTTTAAATGCCTTTGGATCCAGACACATGGTCTGGTTAAAAATACTTACCAATCAATGTCTCTGAGCACCCTCTTACCCTGCAGTGAAAGCATATTAACTTAATGTTTAACCTTCTTTCACAGGGAACTACATGGCAACCCACAGTTTGCAATCCAATAATGCAAGCACAAGAGATGGTCATGCAATAATGTGATTACATGTTATGACCCTAAATGTCTGGTCTGACTGTCAGATATAAACTGTCCAGGCATTCAAAAACTGGCATCCTCCATCCACCTAATATCCTAATCCATAATGTCCTAAGGAAGTGGATGTACTGAGAACACACCTGGCACCACAAAGGATGTCCAGAATGCAGATTGTGGTGTGTCCTAATGTGTCCCATATTTAGGCAATGAGGATAAGATTATTGGATAAAAGAGGAGAGCACTACTTTTTCCAGCTTTTTTTTTTTTTTTTTTCTGAAGTCCCTGATACTTTTGTTTTTGAGGAAAACGTTTTTGTGTCTCATTCCAGAGAAGGTTCAAAACTAACAGGATTCCTTGCCACTGATAGTGCAGGGTCTGCCTTGTTTATACACACATATCTGAGATACATTCTAGATCATCCTTTAATTTTTTAATTCCCATCTTTGCTCTATCCCTTACAGTATTTTTGAAAGTATCAATTTTGCTTTGGGCTTAAATTCAGAGTTGCAAAGAAGAAAAAAAGACTAGTGTGATTTATGATTATACACATTATGATTCAATGCAAATTTACATTTCCCATGCATGTTCCCATGTTATTTCCACATTTATTTTACAAAAAGGCAAAATATATCATCAATGTCCTGAAGAAAAGGTTGCAGGGGGAAAATTGCAAGCAATATAATCAGAGCCATCATACACAGACATGCCCAGTTCACTTGGATGCCACACAGTTCAGCATGCTTTTGTCTGCAGGAGCAACACAGCTCAACATATGCTATTGAATTAGCCTCTTTACCAAGAGCTGTTTGCTTTTCCTTTTCTTGCCTAAAAACCTAATATGTAAGTGTAAGAAGAATAAGCTTCTCTATATAAATGGGATATGCCAAGGTCAAAAGCAAAGTATCTCTTTTTCATACAACTATTTCTTTATGTAGTAAATTTAACATTTGCAGTCTGCTGGTTCTTAATTCTAAGCTCATGTGTAACTATTGTTACGAGGTACACATGCAGTTTACTCGTACTTTGAATGTGAAATATTAAATAGCATCACAATAGGTTTTTAACAGCACTATTTTTTTCCTTTTTGAAGTGCTAGACAGAGAAATATTTCATAAATAATTCATTTGGCTTTTAGGAGGTCTGCATAACTATCCTGACTATATCATTTATTTCTAAAGATACAGTCCCAAACTACGAATCAAAGCTTGTTTGAAAAGAAAAATAGAATCATCTTCTCTTGACAGCTTTTCCTGGGTCTCCTCTCACAGACTCAAGTTCAATATGACAAAAATAGAGCTCCGTTTTCCTTTGCTGTCTGTCTGGTCTCCTCCTCTACAGAAAAAACAACCTTGCCCTCTCCATTAAGTAAAACATCAAGTCCTTTTATTCCTCTCTCTGTTCTTCTCTCCTTTACATACTAGCAATTAGCAGACCATGTCATCTCCCTCTAGTCCTCTGGGCAGAGGTCTTGACTACTTCTAATTTGCCATTACTCACCCTGCCTCTTGCAGGTTTTCCTCTACCTCTGTCTCTGACTATTTTGCCATTTTCATACTATCACCAGCTGCTTGTCAACCTTCCATTATTGCCGTCACACTGATGCTCTTCCTGTTAAAGGCCAATTTTTGGATGCACTACTGACATTAGTGGTATCTTTGCCATAAAGGAGTGTGAAATTTCAAGGAGTGTGAAAATTTATCTTCTGTGTCCTATTTTCACACTCACAATTCCCCTTTCAGTTTCTGATCACAAAAAGCTCTCTTCCACAGTCTAATGTCTGATATTTTTCCATGATCACCCAACCATTAACAAACACATTGACATGAATGTTGTTGCAAAATAGAAACTCTGTAAAGATGAAAGCGGAGCTCAGGTGACGTTCTGTAGAAAGCAAATAAACTCTCCTTCCCTGAACAAAAACAAGTTTGTTCTGTTTTCTTTACTTTAAGAAAGTCTCTTTGACAGCCAGTTCCTTCATTTCACTTTGGGTGTGCTCCTGCAAATCTTCTCAGATCTCTCCTACTGGGGGGACTGGTTGCAAATGCCAGTACGTCAAGACTGGGAGTCCAGCCAATGGCTTCCTTACATTTGCCAAAAGAGGGAAGTTTTGCTCATCATTCCATGACCCCATCCTTGGCTATGCAGTCTACCCACTCACTTGCACTTCCAAAAAACTGTCCTTTGAACTAAACAGAAAGAGAGGCTCATAGATGGATTTTTTTTTATCCTACAGCTTTTTGGATGCCTTTTTTTACACAAAAAACCTAAATGTATGCAATTTATCCTTTTATTACAGATTTCCATAAAAGATTTTTAAAGGTTATTTCTTTTAGGATGTGAAGTCAAACCCCGGTGCTACCCCTACCAGTGAAAAACACCATATCCAAATCATACCTGTGATCATGCTTGATATGATTAACGGCAGAATGATGAGTTTGAGCATTCTCATTAGCAGCTCCCCGGGAAAAGCAAAGTAGAACTTATCCAGGTTAGAGAGACTACCGTATTCCCGTACCAGCATACCAATTCCAATACCTGAAAAACACACAAAACATGATACATTTAGGTTCTCAGCTGTAATTTATGAGAGAGACATGGAGAAGAGTTAAGAAAAATAGAAGATCAATAAAAAAAATATCTCCTGTCCTTTGGGCATGTCTTTTCTTTCCTGTGCATTGTTGGTAGTAAAAACAGCACAATGCACAATGCATATATTTCTGAACTGAGAAGACTTCTTTAGGTGCTTCTTTAGGGGAAAATTCTGTTTTAATCCTCTGATGATCAATCCAGTCAAAAACAAGTAATGTGATACAAATATTTTGAGTAATCTGTATTCGGTAAAATTTATGTCCCTATACACATATTGGTACACAGATAGAGGTACATATACATATATATAATACCAGCAGCAACATGTTCAGTAATTGCCACTCTTACAAGAAAATAAAAATCAGTTTGATGTCAATCGTTAAATTCATTTAGTAATTTCTGGAAATTTCATCAAGAAAAGAAAGTTTCTGCATATTTCTCACTCATATTATTCCAGTATATGCACAGACTACCAGGGTATCTGTATAATAAGCAATCTAAGTGTGCACATTTGCACTTTCATTTGCACTCTTTGGTTTTAATTAGCAAATGGTTCTGGCTACCTAGACAAATCAGAAAATAAATTCCAGGCCAAAAGATAATCTTCTTTAGTCCTACAGATAATTCCTTTATTTTCTATTTCAATGTGAGGGAGGAAATGGAACTCATTGGTACAAGAAATCTGGTCCTTATTATTTAGAGGGGATTATGGCTGTTGTTTCCTTACGTGATTACAGAATTTTGTAGATTCATAATTTGCACATACTTTTGAATTCATGAAGCTCTCAAACCGAAATTTAATGAAGTGCATTTTGTTTGCTTATTATTTATCCTTTTTTTTCATATTCCTACTCTGGGTTCACAGAAATGAAAAATGCATTACGCATGTTTTTCTTTTCAGTGCCTTATAACCTATTTCTACTACAAACATCACTGTTTTAGAGGAAATAGTTATGTAATGTTTCAATTCCAACTTACCTGAGTACCAAGAGACCCAATTTCTTACTGGATTCAAAGAGAGGCAAGAGCATTTTGGGTCTTTCATTAGCCACAGAGTGATGAAAGGTCTTATTCACATTAATAGCTTCCCTGAAATTAATGAAATTATTTATATCCCTCTGTATTTCAGTGTGTATTGCAGCAGAATTGTTACAACAGCACATGAAGGTGCTTCTAGTCTACTTTATCAGCCTCATTGGCTCATGTAGACTCTTGAGCTCCCAAGAATACTATGGAGCTTACAACAGAATCTCCTCTTCCCTCTGAGTTTTATTTTTGTTGGTGCACAGGACAGATAAGTGAGGCTCTGCAAAGGGATATCCAGGGAAAACACCTACAGTAGAGATGGTGGCCAAGATGCTGCTGCACTGTTTAATTAAACGGGCTTACAAGACAGCCCCTTTTCTAATTGACTGATATTGTGGGGGCAGACAGCACCAGAAATCTGTCCTAGAGAAGAAACTCACATATCTTCATTCTAGAAAGGAAGAATTTTCTGCAAAAATCCTCCCAAAACATTCATCTGTGCCGTGGTTTGTACTAGCCTATATGCCATGTGGGTGTTAGATGAAACGAAATGTGAATGACTAAGCTATTTTAACAGAATCTCTCTCTCAGCTCTGATAGCACAAAAAGATAATGAACCATCTTTTCTTGCACTCTCCCTACAGTTGAAGAACAATGTGAAGGAATAGAGGGGCAAATTATAAACTCCTGTCTAGTCTTTATTGCTAGTAAGATGGTAAAAACAAAACAAAACAAGATAACATTTCAGGCAAATAGACTGTTTTAAGCAACAAAGAAGATATCTGAAAATTTGTCATCTGTGCCAGTGAACAGTTTAACCTCCTTGCAATACCTTGAATCTTAATGGCTTCAAAAACATTCAAAACATTATGTAAACACCCTTACACAGAGAAAGAAGACACACAAAGACCTCTACTCTTAATCTAGAGGCTGAACCAAATGAATTAAAAGGAATTAGTCTGCACTTTGAGATAAGACTGATAAAACTCTACTTGTAAAATAGTTACATTTATCTAGGTAAATTGATAAAGTTTAGATCCTGCAAATGCCGCTGTGGAGAGCTGAACTTGAGAACATATGTATTGTCTTAGCTTTGGTTTATTCCCATGCCTAAGGAAAGGCCTATGCTTAAATTGCTGCAAGACTGGATTGTATGTTTACCACAAGCAGTGCAATGCCATTTTATGATAGAGTACATAGTATTAAACTTCACATACTAGACAGAGCCATCAGCCCATGTTTCTGAAGTATGCAAGATATTCACAGCGGTGAGGTGTCCCAGGCCCAGCTCTCTGCCCATTGTACCATACAGCGGAAGAGATTTTCCCCCTTCGCATGCTTTGGCACAAACTTAACCGTAGCCCTACATGACACAATCACAGCCATATACCTGTAGTAAGCTCCTTATCACATCAGAGTCCTACCCATTCCTATTCTGATCCTGCAAAGATAACAGTTCAAGTGGCCCTTGAACCCCAATTCTTCAAGGGCCTCAAGAATCCTAAAAAGCACAGACATCCAATAGGTGTTATCTCTGCCAGAAAAACACCAATCTTGCCCCAGATAGTCAGAAGAACCATGGTCTAGAAGGGAGTGTTGGCACTTAGAGAGAAAGGCTACAAGTGCACTATGACCAGCACAGCTGTAGATGCATGCATGGGATAGGACCACAGATCACTGAAACGACTCCCACTGTAGTGCATGGTCAGGGGAGAGCCCAGGTGGTTTCTAGACAGCAAAGAAGGAAGAGGACAAATTCTGATCCACTGCACTTCACAAAGAAGTTAAAAAGATCAGTGCATATTTTGTTTCCTTCTGTCATCCAGGGGTGCTACGTTCAGAAGGTGTGAACTGCTAAACATCTAGGACATTTTCTAAGTGCATGCCTTCATTCCAGGTGATGACTCTCATGTTTGCACAGCTGGCAAGTTTTCTCCTCTTGTTTGTTTTATATTTAGCAGGATCACAAGCAGGTCAGATGATTCACCATCATTTTTGTTCTTCAGAATTTTCTTTTCCACTTCCTTGGATTTCACTATGAACATTTCCCATGCTCTCTCAAAAATTTTAAAGAGTTTACACATTTTCTTTCGCACATGTGCATTTGTTTCATTTTGGAAAGGATGCTATTTTGTCTAAAGGCACTACCATAAAAGTTTTCCTCATTCAAACAATCTTTTGAAATGATATTGCTGCTCTCACTTCCTTATTTCTGCTATTCCTTTAACAGAATGTGGTAATTATATCATTATACTGACTTTTTCAGTATGCAAAAATAAGTAAGATATGGCTACCGTTTAAATGGAGTTAGCATATGCTCTCTGGTGCTAGAAATTGGCTCTGAAATGTAAGAATAAGCATAACAGCAACAACAGAAAAGGTTAGTACGCAGAATGAATTTACTTTCATACTGAAATGGGACCAATATAGAACTTCTTCATATAGAACTTTTTCATCTCAATTTCAATAACCAAATCACTGGAATGTTGTCCCTGGAAATTCTAACACACAGAAAGAAGTGCGGTCTAGCATGCACATATTTCACATAGTTGCTGGGATATTTAACATTACTTTGGTTAAATAAATCCTGAGCAAGTTTAGAAGAAAGCTTATTATACTCTCTTGTAATTATTTTATTACAATGCCATTTTGTCTGCGTGAACCATACTCCACCATCTGTGTGCTTCACTCTAACACAGAATTACCTCCAACAATCACAAAGCTCTCTAGAGGATGCAGGGACTCTCTTATTTGTTAAGGTTTTTCCTTCCTCTCATATTTTTTCTAATTTATGGAGAACCTTACTTTTGCTTTTTAAAAGACACCATAGCATGCTTTTTTTTCCTTCTTGCCCTCTTCCTCACTTAGTTTCACTCACTCCTCCTATCACTCCATTCTAAACCATTTTCTTCCCTTCTGAACTCCTCTGCTTGTTTTCCCTTCCTGCCACACAGTTAAGTTAGCTAATGTTTTTACTGTGAGAACAATCTTCTATTTATTTCTCAGTGGCATGTGCTACAGAGGGTCAAGACTTCTACAGTACTGAGCAGGAGGGAAGGATGAAGGTGAAAACCCAGCACAACTATGTCTTTAACTTTTTAAGGTGTGTGTCTCATATGCCAAAGAACAGAGAGAACAACAGAGTTGAAGAAAAACGTTGTGAAGCAAAATCTGTTAGCACCCATCTTTCAGGCAATCCCAAGAGTTCCAGCACAAAAAGCTAGGGAGAACATGTAATTCCCTTCCACGGGATGACCTGTTTCTTCTGTTGTGATGCCTGGTGAAAGGGAAGGACTGCAAGGGTCTGTGCTACACATAGCACTCACTCCGTCACATGTGCAAAGCCTGAGGCTTTGCAGGGCCTGGGAGCGCTACCAAGAAGGTAGCAGAACCAGTCTACCCTGTGTGTGCGTATGTTGTAAGCCACATATATTAAGCAGATTTTATCCTTGGAGGCCACTAAGTTGGAAAGTCTACATATCTGCAAGCCAAATTCCTAACTCTGTGACATTTCAGTACTTGGTGAATCCCTGTTCACAAGCACTTGACCTATAACCAGAGTGCAGGTTCTTTTAGGAAAAAGGCAAATTATCTGCAGGGGAACAGGTATGATACTACTGCACCTTCCTTCAACTATTGTAAAGTTCGAGCTGCAAATTTAGAAACAAGTGAAAAAAGAAACAGGCACCCTGGTCACCTCCCATCATTTCACAACTCATTTGTATTATCATACATGGAGAGTGTCAGAAATTTTACTACAGCTATTGTAACCTAAAAATGTGTTGGGAGCAGGATGCTGACTCTTCTTATCAACCAGTCCGAGCAAACAAATGCAAGAACTGTTTACTTTTTTCATGGGCATGGAGGCACAGCTAAGTCCTGAAGGCACTTTTATGCAGTTATGTGGGGTCGACTCAAAT